GGTCGTCTGATGTATCATCCTCCAGAACGGTTCGATACGTGGGCATGTCCACCAGATGTGAATGCTGGTTCCTATTCCTGTGCCGCATCTCCAGCATTCGTTTGAAATTGACTCATGTACGTGCTGCAGGATATCTGGCGTCCGGTACCATCCTGTTAGAATTTTGTAGTTGCATTCTTGGAACTTGGAGCTGATGGTCCCCCTGTGTGTTAGTTGAAAGATTTTAAGCCATTCCTTTTCCGTAAGTTCCATCCCGGTCTCTCTTTCCCATCGCGATGTGAAGCCTAGGGGGCTCTTATCACCGTCGCTTAGCAGCGCGGTATAGAGGTGTGAAACTCCATGTGAGAGATGTTGTCTGGCCGTGCATAGATGTTCCATCATCAGCAATGGGCGGTGTAGGTGGCCTTTACCCGCAATGCCGTCGAGGTATGTTTTCACTTGGTGATATCGGAATGTGTCTAGGCCACTGGGCCTACGGTCCTGCATCAACGTTGCCAGGGGTTTGAGCGTCGTCCCGGAATTCCATTGGCTAGCGTATACCCAGTCCGTTGCTCCGAGATTTTTCAGGTCTGCCGTGCTTAGCCCTCCCGCTAACCTCGGGTTGTGTGTTATTGGTGTGAGTGGGTTGGGCGATGACGTGAGGTTTTTGGAGTAGCGTATCCTACACCACACCTTCAGCGTGGCGTCGATCATTGGGTTCCCGGTAAGTAGTTCCTTGGGTAGTGCGTCTCCCAGCCATAGCATAGCGGGGATTCGTCCCTGGGCTTGGTGTTTCTCCAGGTCTACCCATTGCTTTGTACTGGGGTTTGCATGCCAATCAACCAGTCTGTGCAGATGGGTAGCGTGGTAATACGTGAGGATGGACGGCAATCCCATACCTCCTTCTCCTCTAGGGCGTTCAAGAATCGCTCTTCGGATACGCGCTGGTTTTTGGTTCCAGACGAAGTTCTTGACTGCGGTCGTCAGGGTCTGAAAAAATGCCCTCGGGAGGTACGTTGGTAGTGTCTGGAACATGTATAATAATCTGGGCATAATGTTCATCTTCACGGCACTGATGCGCCCAAACCACGAGATGTATAGAGGTGTCCAGCGTTTCATGTCTTGCTGTAGGGTGGTGAGCAGGGGCGCAAAGTTCAGTCGGTAGATAAGTGTCAAATCTCTCGGGAGCCACACCCCAAGGTAGTGTAGCTTGGCTGTGGAGATCTTGAAGGGGAATTGTGCTTGGATGTGTCGTTGGAGGATGTTGTCCTGTGCGAGCAGCAATATCTCTGACTTATCTAGATTAAGCGTCAAGCCGGATACCTCCTTGTATTGTCGAAACGCCTCCAGGAGATGTGGGAGGGAGGTTCTGGGTTGCTCCAGGAAGAAGAGCATGTCGTCAGCGTAAGCCGCTACCCGGTGTTCTCTTCCTCCTATGCTGCACCCCGTGATACCCCTGTCCTGTCTGACCGCCTCCAAGAAGGGCTCCAGGGTGAGGGCAAACAGGAGTGGGGACAGGGGGCAACCCTGTCTCGTGCCGTTATGTATATCAAACGAGTCAGTCAGTGCTCCGTTTATTCTTATGCGGGCTGTGGGCGAGGTGTATAAAGCCGTTATCCAGGTCCGCAGGTGTGGACCGTATCCCAAATGTCGTAGGGTTTCCGACATATAGACCCAGTCCACCCTGTCAAACGCTTTTTCAGCGTCAGTGGATAGTAGGACCATTTCCTTTTTGCCCGTTTTAGCGGTATGGATGGTGTTGAGGGCTCGAATAGTGTTATCTCTGGCTTCTCTTCCGGGGATAAACCCCACTTGGTCCGGGTGCACCAGATCCGGGAGCGTTCGGGCCATCCTGAGTGCCAGAGCCTTAGCGAAGAGTTTGATGTCCGCGTTTATCAGAGAGATGGGCCTGTAGCTGGCGCAGATTGTTGGGTCTTTCCCCTCTTTGGGTATTATTGCCACGGTTGCTCCCAGGGTGTCTCTGTGGAATTGGCCTCCATCTCTGATTGAGTTGATGCCTATCAGAAGTTTGGGCAGCAGGGTGTCTTTGAAGGAGCGTAAGTACGAGACTGGTAGACCGTCTGGGCCCGGGGCCCTGTGTGCTTTAGTTGATTTCAATGCGCCAGATAGTTCCTCAATCGTCAAGGGCATTTCGAGTTCCGCCTCCTGGTCCGGGGTAAGCTGGCGGGTGATGTGGTTCTGAAGGTATGTGGTTATCCGTTCTCGATGGCTACCTATGTCTCTGTCGTGGTGGAGTCGTGGTTGGTTATATAACGCCGCGTAGTATTCCCGGAACGCTGACAGTATGCCGTCTGGGAGGCAGGTTGTGTCTCCACTGCTCGTGCGTATCTTGTGAACGTGTTGCGCTTTCCTTCTGTCTTGTAGCATCCTAGCTAGCAACCTACCACTTTTGTTCGAGTGTTCATAATAATACCTGGAGGCCTTCCTCGCGGTGTGTAAGAGTCCTTGTGATAGTATGGCTTTCAGCTCCCTTCGTGCTTCCGTCAGGCGGAGGTATGTGCTGTCTGCGAGGTCCGTCTTGTGTTCCCCTTCTAGGTCAGCTATCCGGTCTAGCAGTGTTGTGATACGTCGTGTTCGTTCCTTCTTGCGTTTGGTGCCTATGGCGATGAAATGTCCCCGTATGACGCATTTGTGGGCTTCCCATATCGTTAACGGTGGCGTCTCCGTATCTTCGTTGGTAGTAAAGTATTCAGTTAAGGTTTGGGCAGTCACCCTCTTACACTCTGCATCGTCCAGTAGGGATTCATTCAGTTTCCAGTGTCTTTCGCGGGGTTTATATAGTGGGGAGCTCGTGCGGATCGTCAGTGGTGCATGGTCTGTGTGGTCCATTATGCCTATTCGTGCGTCGTGGAGGAGGTTGAGGTATTCCTGGGCCAGGAATATATAGTCTATGCGACTGTAGTTTTTATGGACTGTCGAATAATGGGTGTAGTCTCTACCTTCAGGGTTACATGCCCTCCAACAATCCACCAGGCCGTGTTTATGTATAGCTCGTAGTGCTGCTCGTATGCAGTGTGCCGGGATCGCGGTTTGTCCTCTGGAGGTGTCCGTGCGGGGGTCCAGTGGTAAGTTGAGGTCACCTGCCATGACCAAGAGGCCGTCTCTGAATTTCTCCAGTTTGGCTAGCGTCCGGGCCAGGAATGTATGCTGCTTTCTATTCGGGCCGTAGAGGCATGCGAAGGTATACGTGTGTTCCATGATTGTACCCTTAATGAAAAGGAATCTGCCGTTCGGGTCCGCCTGCGTTGCTATATGTTGGAACGGCGTCGTCTGTGCAAAGAGTATTGCCACACCAGCCCTCTTAGCGTCCGGGTGGTTCGCGTAGAATCCCTGCGGGTAGCGTCTGTTCTCTAGTTTGGGGGCGTCCAGTCCTCGGAGATGAGTCTCCTGCAGGAACGCCACTGAGGCTCTCACGGCCCATAGGCGCCTTACCAGGTGCGCGCGCTTTTCAGGTGTGTTAAGCCCCTGAACATTATTGGACCAGTATGTCAGTTGGGCCGGGACAAATCCTCGCGAGGCGTCCATCCCGGCGGCAGGGCGGCGTCCCCGCAGCGTTGTCTGTATGTGTAAAGGTGGTGAGTGTGGGGGGGGTCTGTCTGTCTGTGGTGGTGATGTGAACGGTCTGGCGTGTCTTCTAGGTGTGCGGGTGTGACTCTGACCCTGTACCGGGTGTATTCGTTCTCGAGCCTGGTGGGTAACCTCAGCGACGAGGACGCCGGTGTAATGTACAGTGTGGGTCTGTCTCAGTGGGGGTTCCGTATGGTCACTTACAGTGAAGTCGGTCTCGGATCTGAGTGAGGTTGGTTCTCTCCCTTCTCCATCGGCACCCAACCTGTAAGGGTGTGTGCAATCGCCATGTTTGCCTACTCTAGCCTAGGGGTCCGCAATAGTCGCCCGGGACTTAGAGTGTCGGTCGGGCTGTGGTGTCCTGTACCGCAGTCCCGAGGTCTGGTAGCGGATAAGCCTACCGGTCCAGTCGGCATTATGGTCAGTGGTACCCGTGGGTCCCCCCGTCACGGTCGGCTCTCCTGGCGTCCCGGTCCTAGTGGCCGGGTGTTGTCAGGGGATTCGACTGGTTTTGTCTGCCGGACGTCCCGGGGCCCTCCGTGTCTGCCCTTCCCCGCCTGGTAACTTACAGTTCGTTGGCAACAAGTCAGCGTGTCTAGGGTGTTAGGGCGCTGTTTGGGGGTAGTTAGTCCTACATGTGTTGGGCTGCATTGTGAGGCCACCCTGTGGGCGTGGCACGCCAGCTCCCACGTTTGCGTCCCTTCAGAGGGGCTGGTTTGGGACGTGGTCTCTCCCTGCGCCCAGAGTTTTCGTCATGATAGTTATCTGCGTGCCTGGGCTTTCGTAGTGGGGTGTACCAACATGGCGTCTTGCTTGTCTCAGTGAGGCAGATTGTGCGTGGTTGTCCCCTCATGTGAGTGGCTGTGATGTGTGTTGGGTGATATAAACGGAACCGTGTATAACTAAACAACATGAACAAGAAGTGCCCAGCTTTGTCCCAGCCCCCCTCCCAGCTCTAGCCCTGTGTGCCCGCATGTCCCGTAGCCCTCACCCTCCCGCATCCCCCCCTCAGCTCTGTTCCGTGAGCAGCGGTGTGCTAGAGCAGCCTGTTCAGTTCAGCAGTCTTGACCCAGGGTGTGACCTGGGTGATGGTGTCGGTGTCCAGACCCTTTGTACCCTGCCCATCATCCCCTCCCCACCTACGGGGTATGTCCCCCTTTTTGCCCCGGGTGTGTGGGTTTGCTGATGGGGCCCTAGCTCCCGGCCGCTCCCCGAAAGTGGCTTCAGTTCCCTCCCCACCTGTCTGCGGCCTTCCTCCCTGTCTACTAGCTAATGCAAGCTGGCAGCGGACTTAAAAGTACATACCCCTGCCGTGGTGTCATCGGATCTGCATGGCGTCCATAATCAATGCTGGGGTAAGCTCGGGAGGCAATGCCCTGATCTGGCATGGGATGTCTCATGGGGGGCCACTGGTCCGTGCGGCGTGGGGGCCTCTATTCCTCAGGGCCTATTGGGCCTCCTCTGCGTCTTGGTGGTCCAGGCTCCAGGTGGATGTTGTGAGCCACTTCAGATGGGCCTGTGGCTCGCGCCGGGGGTCCCTCCAGGATCCAGTTTGGCACTGAGATAGCAGGTAAGTTGACGGTTCTTAAAAACCGTGGCACGTCGTTCGGCCAGCGGATGATGTGCCATACGTTTCCCATCCGGGCCTGCAGGCTGAATGGAAATCCCCATTTGTATGGAATTCGTCGCTCCTGAAGTGCTCGGGTGAGAGGCCGCAGGGCCCTGCGGGCATCTAGGGTGATGGTAGATAAGTCCTGGTAAAGGGATATTTGTGCTTCCATGTAGGTGATGTGCTGCTGTGCACGTGCTGCCCGCATTATAGATTCTTTTAGCGGGAATGACAGGAGGGCGCAAATCATGTCTCTTGGCTGCCCGTCTCTTCTGGGGGCGCGGAGTGCCCTGTGGGCCCTTTCGATGCCGGAGTCGCCAGGAGCTGCATCTCCTAGTAGTTGCGCAAATAGGCCATTCAGGATCTCCTGCGGTACCTCGTCCTCGGATTCAGGCAGGCCTCTGACTCTGATGTTGTTACGCCGGCCGCGGTTATCGAGATCCTCAACCTGCCGGCGGAGGTCCAGGAGGATGTTGCCCTGCCTCGTGGTTGCCAGTTCCGCTGCCTGTCTGTGCTGCTGGGATTGTATGCGCTCTTCTTCCAACCTGTCTACTCGCTGCTCCAGCGCCGTGAGGTCGGTGCGCACAGCCGCTATTTCCTCCCTTATTATGGCCCTCAGCTCAGCCACCATTTCTCCTTTATCCTTCCGGGTCATCATGCTCGCGGAGATCGCGGCGAGGTCCGCGGATATTTGGGACAGGGTGCCAGGGGTGCTGGATTCCCGCGCCGAGCCCGCTATGCTGGAGCCCGGGGAATCGAGGGCCGGTGTTCCGGTCTCGCCCGTGTCGCGGAGGCCATGCGGCGTGGCCAGGAACTCGTCCATCGGGCCGGCTGGCGGTCGGGAGGGGGCCGGAGTGACCTGGGCTGCGGTAGGTAGCCGTCGATTTTTCCCCCCCATGGAGGTGCGCTTTCTGCGGCGTTGCTGTGCTGGTTAATCGGGGCAAATCAGGTTGGGGCCTAGGAGCTCGGAATGAGTGCGTCCTACTCCATTGACTGTTAGGCCACGCCCCGCTCTATGTCTTTCAATCACTTTTAATAGTTTTCAGAAAATAAAGAAAAGTAGGGACAAATTCTTCTTATGCATAGCAGTCAAGATGACAAAACTAGACAATGGGCAGAGCTTAAAGGACAACTGCCATCTCAACACTACTTTTTTAATATGATAATATTTTCATAAAGTTTTGAAAGGAAATATATTCTTTATTAAATTAAGAACATGTAAAAAAAAGAAATGCTCATCCCAACCCTTAGTGTACGACAAGATCCTTCAGCTTTGGGAAGGACCAGTTAGTCTCTATGGTCTTCCCGGCTTCACTCCCAGGACAGTGCAGTGACATCAGACCAACTACCTGTATGTTTTCAGACACTGTATGATCCAAGGTGTGTTTATATGGCTGAGTGATCCTGTCATATACTAATTAGGGATGATTTGTTTTTATTTTCCTTTCATGTACTTTATTAAAAAATAAAATAATAATTCCATTCAAAACTTGAAGAAATGATCATAATATTATAAAATGGTACTTAGGTGACAATTCTCCTTTAAGCAAGATGCTGTTTCTGTTGTCAATCAAATTAACCCACAATCCACCAGTAAAATCAATCCCAGTGAAACGCAAATGGCAGACATGATGGGCAGAGGAAAACAAAATGGCTGCACCATAAAATAGATATTTGGGACAAGGAAGATAGGATAATAAATATAAACATGACAGTGCCTCTTTAAGACAAATATACATCATATACTAATCCTAATGTATCTCCTAGTATACATAATACTTTCACTATAGACCCTCCTTTTATTTTTTTTTTATCTATAGCAACATAAAGCTATTTGCAAGCTTTTACCTAAGGAATTGGTGAAATATTGCTGGATATGCTTTTCAAATGATCTAATATTTTTAGAATAAATGTTTTTAGAAATCTTTTTCCAAAATATTGAAATAACATATCATATATAAAAAAAATTACCTTGATATAGAACATATAAAAAATATTTTTTTAAATAATATTTTAAAAGTTTATCCAAAAATATGAAATAGTTTGAAATGATTATTAAAAATTATGAAATTGAGGCCTAAATACCTTAAATTACGCAATCTTCAAAATTTCAAATCTTACATTACCAGTCTGGCCAAAACGTGGCTCACCGCTGCAAGCCTGGGGAATCCTTGACTAGTGAATGAGTGGAAATTCTGAGCCCTGTATGACATATTCATTTATTTAGCCATTAAAATACCTCCACCCTTTGCTAAAGAACTCCCTTTTGAGATCACTTGGCTAATTATTATTTTTCTCCTTAACCACATTTTAATAGAAAGAGCATACTAATAATTTTTAATTTAATGGTATTTGCATTTCGGCCAATGTTATTTTTAGCCTCAATATATGTTGGATATGGTAATACACAAAATAAGTTTCTGTGCAATTTTAGAATATATGCTGGTGTGCAAATATTCCGTTAAGTGTTATCCTGCGATATTATTGTTGCGTTGTAATTTTATATAATAGATATTTTTGGGTTATTGTATTTCAGAGTCTGTTATTTGTTTCGGTTTGTTGTATGAAAACCTTTGACGTTCCCCACTTGGACAATCAGGCCACAGAGCTGTGGTGTTCAACCACGGCCATCTGGCTGCTTTTGAACTAGGATTCCCAGAGTACTTGGGTTTGAGAGTGAAACGAATTATGGGAAATAGCATGTAGAATAGGCTGGATGGGCAAGGACTGTTCTAGAAAGGCTGTAAGGATTTTGACAAGTTTTCCCACTGTATTGGGAAATTAAGCTTTTTGATTCACACATTTCAAAACTTTATGGCCCTTTAAAGGAAAACAAGCAAAGGTAACTCAATTATTCCAGTGTATCTTGGTGCGTGTAAATTAAAATAAGCACCAAAATCCCACTGACTCATAATAGAGTAAGTTATCCAAATAATATTTCATTGATTTAGATGAAGAATGCTGCTCAGTGTTTCTATCTTTCTGACTACATTACTCGGAGGGTCCTTTTACAACAACAAGGGAGACAACTGTCTGCAGTTATGATGACCCTTTTCCTCCCTAAAATGACTGTTTAACTGCATTGTGAGTTTTAAATTCCCATGTTTTACTGCCAGGACATAGGATCTCCGATACCAACACACCTCAGGATTTATTGGTCCCACCAGAGGCTGATTTTGTTAATACCAGAGTTCAGCAAGGCAGTAATGTCAAAGGTTATCTTTTGTTGGGCAATATGAGATTGCCAGTCTATTCTTCCCCCACCACCCTCCCACATCTTCACCTCCCTCCTGGTTCATCTGCAAAAATCATTAAGGGCTTTTCTGGCTCTCAAGAGCATGGAGTGTCTTTTTAGCAGAAAGATTACATTACTGAGCTCTCAATCTACTATGATACCTTATAGTATTTTAGCCCACTAAAGTAAAAGTTTAAACACCCTCCCCAGCACCCCCCAAAGAAAGGACTACAAAAATGCTATTCCCTTTATTGATGAGCAACTTGCAGTCTCCTGGGATCATCTACTCCACCGAAGCTTACTCTAAACATGTATGAGTGTTCATGGCTCTGTTCTTGTGGAATAGCCACTAACATTACAAGCAATTCACTAAGCAATGAATTTAAAACCAAATATGGAAAACTTGGGCTAACAGAGTTATGTTTAGCATAGAGTTCAATTGGGGGGAAAATGGAACTCCGTGATATGAAAAGCAAATTTGCAAAAAAATACAACAGTTTACTGCTTTGGAAACAAAACATCAGACATCCTGCCCCTTGTGCTTTTTGTTTTGCTTGTTACTCAATTGTAGCTAGATTTTGAAATAGTATCAATATGGAATTAAAAGTACTTTATTTAGTCTATCTCAATACTAAAAGAAACCGCCTCGATCCTCATTTTCCTACAGAGCACCACAATTATGGAACGACCTCCCGCACACTTTCAAATCTTCCCCAAGCCTAAAGTCCTTTAAGAGATCCCGCTCTACATATCTCAAAACAGGATGCACCTGTCATGGTTAATTATATATTTCTTACCGGTTCCGTGTTAAATTTTGCATATGTGTTGTGTATTAATATTGTTTTTGTATTTTTACTATTTTGTTGTACCCTATTGTAACTGCAATGTTTGTTAACCCAGGACATACTTGAATACAAGAGAAATCTTAATGTATCCTTCCTGGTAAAATATTTTATAAATAAATAAATATGATATCATGCATCGCTCATTTTTGCAAGTTTTGTCTACCCACTGAAAGTGCCGTAAAGAGTTGTTCTAAAAGGATTATAATAAAATATGATTTCTCCTGCAATTTATTTATCTGTTTTTCTTTGTTCCATCTGGATACATAAAGAAGAAAAGGAAAACATGTATACTCTGATAAATCCCCCTAAACTCTCAAATAATTAGATTAATCTGGCAAGTCCTGCAGCCCATTAATCCTTCCTCTCTTTGTGTATTACTTTTGTACATTGTAAAATGTTTTAAAACCAATCTCTCACGGTATTACATACACGTTGTGCTGATAAAAAAATGTTAACTAGTTTATAACGTTTGCAGTGTCACCCCGTAGTCTAGGCTGTTTCTTTACTTCTAACAATAGTAAGGTCAATTGGCGTCCTGGAATTAGCGTGAAAAGGTCGCACCAGATCTAGACAGGCGGCTTCGCCAGACACATCTTTGAGGCTCTCACCTGTGAAACCTGACCCACAGAGAGCTGCACAGTTATTCTATTACAAAAATCAAGATTTATATGGACACGAGGAGGGAAGCAGAGTTTTATGATTGACATGGCGCCGTTTCTTTTTTTCTAACCTATTTGTAACATTTTCCCTGGCTCCTTTTATCATCTCTGACACCATTCCATCTGTTCCCAGTCATTTAGGAGCTGGGAATCTTGTTTCACTGCACACAAGCTTATGGGAATGAACAAAAAAAGTCAAATCTTCACTTCACAATCAACTATCCTCAACTATCCTCTTAGCAGATGACATGCACTTCGAATGTTGCTATGATGCCTGCTTAGACCTACAAGCCCTACCTACATGACTCAGTGGTTTCCTATATTACAAAGGCTTCCTAGCAGAGGTCTACCCTACATATTCCTATGGCTAGTCCCGGCTGATGCTTGGTTATTCAGGTGTCCCTGTACTTGAAGCCTAGCTTGCTATCTCAGACCTTTTCGATCTTTTCTGCATTCTACCACTCTTGGCTCACTGATTGGACTAGATATTTCACCCTCTGCCCTGTCTTGACCATGATTCTATCTCAAGCCCTACCGACACAGACTTTTGGACTCCGGGTTCTGACTTTGGTTCCAGGTCTCCAAGTTCATTGTTTTACCTTTTCTTACTCCGGTTTGTTCTACCATTCAGGAAAGGGAGAATTTGTGCTCCGCATGCCTTCCAAGACATAAATGTACACTCTCAAAAATAAACAATGTAAAATGTTGATTAGCTAATAAAATATAATGATATTAAAGAGGATACCTCAGCACATGGACAACTTTCTCGGTCTATTAAACCCTCAAGAAACAATGAGAAAATAAATCCATCACAACAATCTAGCCTTTAAAATCTTATTACAAAGTGAAAAGTCCTATTCATTTAGTGACAGCAGCGTTGCATGGAGGAGTCATTGCTAAACAGACAGAACATTCCATACTGACATACAGTCACTAGGGACCAGACTTGGGGTGGCACCACACAGGGGCGTACCTAGAGCATTTGGCACCTGGGGCCGATCCTGGGCTTGGCACCCCCTCACCTTACTATTGCCCCTCCCCCCCCCCAAAAAAAACCTAACATTTTTTAAATGTTTTCCTTTTTTTTTTTTTTTTTCTGTATTGTACAAATTTGGAAACTTTGCAAAACCGCTGTCAGCCCCCTTCTACAAAACCCTTG